CCCTGCGGCCGGTGCCGCCGGCGCTCCGGCCCACATCATCCCTGCGTCCCCTCGGGGCAACCCTGAGTTCCCTCGGAGCGACCCCGCATCCCCTCAGAACATCCCTGCATCCCCTCAGAGCATCCCCGCATCCCCTCAGAGCATCCCTGCATCCCCCCAGAACATCCCTGCATCCCCTCAGAGTATCCCTGCATCCCTCCAGAGCATCCCTGCATCACTCCAGAGCATCCCTGCATCCCCTCAGAGCAATCCTGAATCCTCCAAAGCATCCCTCCAGAGCACCCCTGTATCCCTCCAGAGCATCCCTGAATCCCCCAAAGCATCCCTGCATGCCCTCAGAGCATCCCTGCATCCCTCCAGAGCACCCCTGCATCCCCCCAGAACATCCCTGCATCCCTTCAGAGCGACTCTGCAGCCCTCAAGAACATCCCTGTGGCCCCCAGAGCACCCCTACATTCCTCCTTCCCTCTCAACACGGGAACATCCTTGAATCCTCCTAGATTATCCCTGCATTCTCCCCCAGGAACATCCCCACATCTCCCCAACATATCACCCCTTCAACAGAGGCCATGAGGAGTGCTTATGGTTCCTGCCTCAGTGTCTCTGCCTCAGTGGAGAGGAGTGGAGGTCAAGGCTTAACTTGTGCTTTACTCAGAGGTCAGCCAGGAGCACTCCCCAGGCCGGAGGAGCAAGGTGGGTGATGCTCTCGCCCCTCACTGGCAGCAGGAGGAAGAGGTAAAGCTGCCTGGGAGCAGGCAACTCTACCAACTGCCCATGTCACTCGGTCTGCAAGCCAAGGAGCCTTTGCCCACAGTCCCCCGATCCAGGGGGATGGTTAGTGCCCCCTCCTCCCTCCACTTGTTTGGTTTTCCGTATCTAAGGAGAATAACTTCTATTTGAATACTTTCTCCAGCTGGTGATGCTCCTGGGTGAAGTTATCTACCACTGTAGAAGCCCTGTGTGCAGTGCCTGCTCCAGACTGCAGGAGTGGAAATGTCCTCACAGGTGTCCTGGCACCGGGGTGGGATCTACTCACCAAAATCACCACCTCTGGGGAACGGCATGGGGACACACAGGGCAGCAACGTTGGAAACCAGAGCGGGATACTGGCTGGAGACCCTGGCTGACTGCCGTTCTTCCTGGGGAAGTCTGATAGGTTGTGTATGTCTTTGAAGTACAGGGATTAAAAAAGCAAAGCAAGAAAATTGTGCAAACCCAGAAACACGCATGAAGCTAATGCCCAGGGGGTTTGCTGCCTTCTGATTACTCCAAAAGCTATTTTCACATCAGGAACTGTTACAGCCTCGCAGAATTCCTCTTCAAACCCACTACCATAGCCACTATCTTGATAGCAGATGCTGATCCTGCTGGGAGGAGGCTGAAAGGGCTCTTTTAAATCACGGTAAATCATTTGCAGCCAGCAAAGCCGGCAGGTGAGAGCACCTCTCGGCGCGGCGCAGGCAGGGAGCTCGCTGAGCGCTCCCGCAGGGGTGGCCTTTGGTGGCACCCTCCAAAGGGTGGCCTCCAGCAAGGACCAGCCTTGTCCTGTCCCTTAGCTTGCCCAGCACTGAGACAACCTGCTGGCTCTACGTTTAGATCCGGGCTTTCTTTTTGCAGGTGCCGTGCAGGGGCAGCGCAGGCAGGCTGTGCTTGACACCGTGTGGCCCCTTCTTCAGGGAGCCAAGTGTCCCCGGGCCACCCCACTCCACACAAGGCTGGGTCCCCACTGCTGCCGCGTCCCGACGGAGGATGTCACTGTGGGCTCGTGGGAGCCGCGGGTGGGAGAGCAGAGGATGCTGCGTGTGCCAGAAACTCCAGGTCAGTGGGGTGACGGCCGGAGGGTGCGGTGCGCCCGTGGGAGGCTTCGAGGAACTTCGTTTGTGGGTTCAGCGCTGCTTGGAGGAAGATCAGATTTAACGACACACCCAACCGAATTCCCACCGGGGCGGTGAGCAGCCCGGCTGTGCAGCTGCAGCACAGCCGCAGCGCAGAGGACCTGAATTTTGTGCATATTGTCTCAGATGTGATGGAGAAAGGGTTTCTTTATTTTCCCCTGTTTAATGAACCCACAGACCACTTTCATTCTGCAACTCTTTATGGTCTGGTGTTATTTGTAATCTCCAGCTATTCAGACAATCATTAGTATTCGCTGAAATGTTTACAAATTCCAAATTATTGTGTGCATGTTGCGGCATTATCACTAGGAGCTGTTTGCTGTTTGTAAGCTGCCATTCATTATTCAGAGTTTTCACCGTCCAGATAGAAAACAGAAACCATACTTTCTATCTAAGGTAATTTATAAAGTGATCTGCAAAACGTAACGTGAACAAATCTCAATTATTGTTTATCCAGAGTAATTTGCCAGGAGTGTTAGATAAATAAGCGATGACAGAGATTTGCAGATTATAGTTTTCCTGGTCCTGATGTTTCTCCCTTGCTTCAGCAGAATGACAAATATATTTCTAATATCTTTCAGGAAACATGCTATCTTGGTAATAAAACAAAGGAAATCGCCCAACCTGGAAGGGGTAGTTAAAGCAGATTACATACAGACATGCAAAGAGATGGTATGATCACTAATGGTTTGACCTGGTTTATGCAGTACCTGTGCCACATACAGATATCCCATATGTTCATAAGTGCTTATATGTGTTCATATAGGGAGTATCGACCACCTGCAGTCTGCTTAATCCTTGTGTAGATACAAGGGCCAAAATGGGACCTTTCATAGAATCATTATGGCTGGAAAAGACCTTTAAGATCATCAAGTGCAACCGTTACCTGACTCTGCCAGGCCCACTTCTAAACCGCCTCCCTGAGCACCAAAACCAGACGGCTTTTAAATACACCCAAGGATGGCGATCCTGGGCAGCCTGGTCCAGCCTTTGATAACCCTTTCAGTTCTGAAGTTTTTCTTAATGTCTCACCTAAACCTCCCCTGGCGCAACTCGACGCCATTTCCTCTTGTCCTATGGGCTGTAACTTGTGAGAAGAGCCCAACGCCCACCTCTCGACCCCCTCCTGTCAGGGAGCTGTGGTGAGCGAGAAGGTCTCCCCTCAGCCTCCTCTTCTCCAGGCTGAACACCCTCAGGGCCCTCAGCCGCTCCTCATAAGACCCTCTCCAGACCCCTCACAGCTCCGTGGCCCTTCCTTCTCTGGTCCTGCTGGCCACACTGCTCCTGATGCAGGCCAGGATGCCGTTGGCCTTCTTGGCCACCTGGGCACACTGCCGGCTCACGTTCAGCCGACCGTCCCGTGGGCAGCTCTCCAGCCACTCCTCCCCAGGCCTGTAGTGTCCGTGGGGTTGGTGTGGCCCAAGGGCAGGACCCGGCGCTTGGCTTGGTGAAGCTCATACCATTGGCCTCAGCCCATCCATCCAGCCTGTCCAGATCCCTCTGAAGAACCATCCTACCCTCAAGCAGATCAACACACCCACCCAACTTGGTGTCATCATCAAACTTATTGAGGGTGCTCTCGACCCCCTCATTGAGATCGTTAATCAAGACATTAAACAAGAGTGGCCCAACACTGAGCCCTGTGGGACACAACAAGGGTGGGTCAGAGCTACAGCTCACTATAAGCTCTCCTGCGCCCGGTTTCTCTTTGTTCTAAGGTTGTGACTGAGAAGCAGGGTCTGGGGACAGCAGATGCAGAGGTCCCAGCCCAGAGCTCCCACCCGAGCCTGCTCTGGAGGGCTTCTGCGCTGCGGCGGGGACGTGCCAGCCGGCTGCAGCAAGGCACTGGAGGAGCCACGGCTCACAGCCTGGGTGCCAGGGTAATTCAGCGGTCCCTGAACACACACGCAAGGTTCAGCTAGGCGAGCAGACGAGCCCTAGAAGCCCCCAGGCAGGGGGAAGACCTGGGGGCAGCCCCGCTGCCACCACCTGCAAAGCAACTCCTCTCCTGGGGCCTCCTGAGCACGGGGGGGCGGGAGCTCTCCTCCCCTCTCTGCTTCCTTCCCTCCTGGATTTTTAAGAAACATTGAGCCGGAACATGAATTCTGCAGACGTTCTACATCTTTAAAAAGAGGCAAGGGTAATATGTGGCTTTTTAAGGCTGGTTTGTACTGGAAGAAGAGTCTGCACTTGGAAGTTGTTTCGCATTCAAGCAGAGAGTGAGGAAGAAGTGAATAACCCTCTTGTAAGATGGCTGTTCTGGGGAGTTTCTCTGTGATGTGAAGCCTTCGGGCTACGAGACAAACAGCTTCTGCAGCCTCCTGGTGTTAAGGGAACTCGAGCTTTGGATGTAATTTAGCAGTTGTCCCTGTCCTGGGTTTGGGGCACTGTGAAGTCTGTGTAGTGCCACATCACAGAGCAGTGCCTGAGGACCGGCAACTGCTGCTGGCTCCTCTGAGCCTCACTGGTGACCATCACCTCTCTGCTTGGTACTGGTTACTGTGGGGAAACAGGCAACCGGGCTGACTCATGGGGTGTTTTGTACATGCTTTGTATGCATGTGGCTTACTGCCACTTGCTTCTGTTTCTGTTGCTTATTATTTTAGTTTGAAGGTCCTAGAGGGACCAATTTGGAGTTTCCTTTGCACAGATATATTTCCTCCGTTCAGCATCTCATTTATGTTTTCTCCTGTGACTTGCAGAATTGCACACAGATTTACAAGTTGGACAGAGGAGGTTTGGAGAAGTTCTGTCTTCTCCAAGAACTCTCATCCAAATAAATAAAGTTTCCGTGCAGGCTGATTATATCAGCCACCGAAGACACAGTGCTGGGATCCACTCTTCCCAGTGGGGCACCTTCTTCTACAGGCCAGGTTTAATCCTCCTTCTTTCTAAAATTTAGCATCCCGTAGTTTTATTAAATCCCCGTAATTCTCGTATTATAAAAATAACATGGTTTTATTAAACACACAGTTCAAGATGTTTTCACTGTAATACTCGAGGGATTCCTTGAGCTACAAGACATATGCTGCAGTCCATGTCAGATTAGAGCCTATTATACATGCGTGTGTTTTGTCTTGGACCACCGTCACTCGTTACTTCATGCATTTATTTGCAATTCATGAAAATCTCAGGATGACATAAGCCAAGACACTAGATGTGGAGAACCGTGCTACAAAACCTGTTTTCAGCTTCTTATGGGTGCTGTAGAGATGCTGAGATTCTGTTGGATGCTTGTTCAGGTTCTTAGATTTCGTTAGGTGCTCCTTATCTTTCTAATGAACCAAGAAATCCAGATGCAAGGAGTTGGATTGCTCCCCGCTCGGGGAGGTACGTCAGTATGTTTGTGATGAGACAACTTTGTTGGCTTGCTTTGTTATTTTTATCTGATCCACGTAAGTTTTATTCCATGAAATGTCTTTTTAGCTCTGAAGAGTACATTAAAGAGTTTCTTAAAGACATCACCTTCTTGTGCACAGGTAGCACTTCTATAGAGTACACCTGGAGCTGGGAGGATATTCCTTTTCAGTTGGCTGATTGAACATTGCTACATAATTGACAGCATCTCCCACCTTCGGAGACTGTGATCTTCTACAAACGACAGAGTGATAATCATGCCTGAGTCATTAAAACAAAAACAAATTTATACTTAATAAACACTGTCTCCCTGCGGTTTGTCTTGGAGAATACGTGACCTGAAATTGCTTTCACGCACGTCCCCATCCAAACCAACCGAGATGGTCACAGCCAAATCCTACACACAAATACCCCCGACTCCATGAGGTGGCAGATGGCCGGAAAGGGTCAAAAATTTTCTGCCCCTCTCCTCCAGGCACATCTATAATTCAGTGCTTGCACTGGTGTGCTTGGCTCCAGCTCTGGAATCACGCGGTGCTTTGACACCAGTAGAAGTGCCTCCGTCGTGGGGCACAGACCTGTGGGCAAAACATCCCACCCGCCGGCGAGCTCAGCTGCGCCGGGGCACACGTGTGTGCCTGTCTGGGCACTGCTCTCCCTCGCTTCTTGGCAAAGGGGAGAGAGGGAAACTCCCCTTTCTCCTGGAATAAATCAAATAAACCCGGTAAATGAGGTGCTAACGACAAGGTTGTTATTCATAATCTGTAGGGACAGAAGTAACGTCCCCTGGATGTTGATCCGGCTCCTTCCACCCTCCCATGGAGGAATTTGCACTTTGGTACAGCTTTAGATACGCATCGTTGCAATTACACAGTGAGGACAGCTGTGTCCCAAAATCAAGAGTTATGGAAATCAGAAGACATATTAGTGTCAATAACACTTAATGGGGAAATGAGGGCTTTCCTGACACCTTCTCTTGGGTGTATGTCTGTCTTTGCATTTCCACAGAGGAGTTTGCTCGTCCAGGGGGCAGTGAGGGTGCGCAGCGCTGGAGGCAGCGCAAGCTCCACACCTCCAGGAGAGATGCTGTTATTGCTATGCACGAATTGTAGTTTTTCCACTGCTTATTTCTGTCCCATGGAGCCAGCTTGTCTGTGAAACGAACTTTAAAGAAAGAGATGATTAAAAACCCTCTTTGTGTTCATGTCTTTACTGATGAGGGTTGAAAGTCCTCTGGCGTTCACACAAGTATCTGTCACTATGAAACCCGTCCCTTTCTTTTCTTTCCTTTTCGTCTGCCTTTCATCATGGGAAACATTTATTCAGTTTGGAAAATTCCCTCTTTTTTGAGATCCCCTCGCAAGTTTCCAGCAGACGTGGGTGAGGGTAAGGGCAGTGTGGCAGAGAAAAGAGATCCCAGAGCGACTGAGGATGAAATCTCTGGAGGAGCCCCTGTGCTCCTGTTTTGCCAGACCATAGAGCTACTGCACAAACGGGGAAGCCAAGCCCCCAGATGAATTTTTTACATGGAGCATCAGAGGATAGGACACAGAAAATGCCAGGGGAGCATTTCCCGTTCTAGAGATGCCTTTCCAGTGAAATGTTACTCTTTGATATATATTTCTCTTTTAAAAACAAACCCAACAACAACTTGTTTGTCAGACTTGGTGAGTTATTAGGACTGAAAAATAGCATGGCAACCCAAACCTGGATGGGACATCTTGAAACCAGTTGCTGGGTGTGCTTCATCCTGCTGCTCAGCCAGATGTCAAAACGACTTATTCAAAATGATGATCTTAAAGGTCCCTTCCAACCTAGAGGATTCTATGATTCTATGACTTCTGCTGGTGGAAGAAGGTCTTTTCCTTGCCACATTGCAAGGGACTTCATTGAGAAAGTTTAATGTTGGATAAAGATGATGATGACAGGAATAGTCCTCAAAAATGCTAAGAAATACCCTGTGAACCAGCCTTCAAAAAGATAGGAAGAGCACTAACATTTCTACACCGAAAGCAGCACATGCTGAGAGCTGTACCGCACGGCACCAAAGCCACCGAGTCTCTGAGAATGACCACAAATGCTGGAGGGAAATCACCCCCAACCTGGCCGCGGTATCTACCCATCTGTCTTCAAAAAAAGCCCAACACCTTTTTGCTTCTTTCTTTTCCTTCCTGCTTTCTTCTCCTTCCTTCCCTCTTTCTCCCCATTCCCAGCTGTAGCTGTAACCTGCAAATCCAAACTCCCAAAGTGTCAAAAAAATGTATCCTTTAGCGCAAGGAGACTGTTTGTAGTTGGACCTGTCCCAAAGTGCCGTGACTGTTTTTGGCTTCTTGGGAACTAACTTCAAATTACAAATCACCTTGTCATCAAAGAAAGACACATTTCTAGTCTTGTGCAAACCACCCGCACTTTTGCGAGCATGAAAATGCTGAGTTTAGCTACTCTGGGGGAGGAAAACACAGCAGAGCAGGATGAGTAATACAGTTAGTAATGAAGTAACTGTCTGATCAGAATTAACACCTGGTTCTTGTCACGGCCAATTCAATACTGCATTTTGAAAGGAAAATTTCAGAGCACAAGGGGAATAAAAACAAAAGTCATCCTGCATCTGTCAGCTTGGACCGAGTTGGCGGCTGCTGTTAAGACCAATAGATGTTTTCAGAGAGAGACAGCAGGGTCTGAATAACAAGACGTGATATCCATGTACAGCTGCTACCAACGACGCTGGAAGCATTTTGCCACGTGGAGGAGTAAACATTAAAGCTCTGTTGAAAAAGTATCCGTTAAATTTGGTACTCCATCAGGAGACTGTTTAAGGAGCAGGGCTGGGCTTCGTCCCGATACTCTTAATGGCAGTAAGTGCTGTGGGTTAGAAGTGAAGTGAGGACATTTGAGAAGGACTAAACAACTTCTAATTGAAGCCAGTGCTGTTCCCGCGCAGATGGAAACACGGAGCAGCTGTAGAGAAACGAGCTGGGTTTCTCCGGGCTTTGGTGCGAGCTGCCGCACAGTGGGCTCCTTAGCGTGTCATCAAACTTTATAAAACTTGGTGACACTAAGCAATTAGAGGGGTAGAGTTTAAGCCCGCTTATGGAGTCCATGGTTTCCTTCAGAGCTACCACCAGGTTCTCGTGGGAGAAGACCTACAAATGTCAGCTCCGTCGCTTCCCGCTGGCCCGCGGGGGACCGGAGGTGGGGAACTCATTGGTAACCTCATATAATATTTAACAGACTTCCTGGGCTAATTAAGTATATTACTTTATATAGTAACTAACATATCTCTAATATGTATCAAAATTTAATTCAGTTTAATTCATTACCGCCACTCAACGTGGGCCCAATTCCCCTCTCCCTTACAAAGATGCAACTGCATTAATTCATTGCGTGCGTCAGGGAGGACAACGCAGCTCTCCTTCTGCCAGATCATTTCCGAGCAGAAATACAAAGAAAACTTTGGTCTTGTCTCTGCACAACTTGCCTGAACCAAGAGAGTTCCTTCAGAGTCACGCTGGCGTAATAGTTGTCCCCAAACCCTCCCACCAGGTGTTCAGTCTCTTACAAGCTGGAGGGTCCTTCAGGCACAATATCTGAGGGGCTTTTCTGTACGTCAAAGCTTGGACTCGCCCTCTGGTAATTACTCCCCAAGCGTACGAGGTTGTAAAAGCAGCACAGCACAGAAGGAAAGGTATTTCTCTGAAGAGCAGAAGGCAAACAAGCTCTTTGTTGCTGAGATTAGGAAAATCAGCAGTCTAGCTAGCTTTAACTTGTTTATTTGACCATTTGACTTCTGCAAAGCCCCTGATAATGAAGTCTGGTGTCTCCAGGCTGCTGGAAAGGGGGACTGAAGCTTGTTATTCTCTCCCTCTCCAGTGGCTACTGTGACATGATCCAGCAGTGTCTGCCCAGGCCTGATGGAGAGCAGGCGCATTCACCGAGACACCCTCTGTAGGAGAAGACCCTCTGCCGTGCACAGGGCAGTCTCTGCCGTTCCAGGCTGGGCTGCATCTCTCCAGGGTAGGGGACTCTTCATCTGAGCCAGCCGCGAGGAACAGAAAAGGCTCCTGTTCACACGCAGCCCCTGAGGACGGCCCGACACCACACTCACGTTGCCCTGGGAAGGGTACACGCTTCTCACCGGTGACATCTGCGCCCGCTGGAGACCTCCGTGTGCAGGCTGTCCCTAAGAGGGGAGAACAGGGCATTAAAATTAAAAACCGTGCTCTGCTGTGCAGGAGGGCAGGGAGGAGATGCTGGGGAGGTACAGGCAGAGATGCAGGCAGAACTGGCTTGGCTGGACCAAAGCTGCCTGGCCAAAAAGTCCCTGTACGGTTATGGGCTGTGACCGGCGCCTTCGTCAGACAGGTACCCTGGGCTGACCTGCAGATCCATCTCCTGAGGGATGCTGGGGACGAAGGGCAGGAAAAAGTTACGGGAGACGTTGCTGTTGTCACTCTTAGCAGGAATTTCAAGTGGCTGTGCTGCTAAAAGCACTTTCAAGGGCAACCTGTCAAAGGCTGTGAGGTCCGACAGCTTCATCCTCACTTACCAAGCGCATTTTCTCCGAAGGAAGGTACCCTTCCTGGGGAGAGGGGAACTTGTCCCTCTGCCCTTCCAGCCCCCATCAGCTCTGCCCACTTCCCCGCCGCACCACCTGCGAGCCACCATGACCCTTCTTTTCCGTGTCTGAAGGGGCTGGGTTCTGCTCCCCCGCCACAAGTTTGCGAGCAGAGGGATGGCTGCTGCTCCCCCAGCCCCACCGCCGGCCGCCTGCAGTCTCCAGATCCGTCTCATTTTGAAAGACCTTCATCTGTACAAGGATTTTCCCTGACTCCTGGCTTTTCTCATAAAACCCCCCATCTCAACCCTCTCTCAGTGCTCGTGACAACGCCAAGCCTGCCCTTAGATCTGTCTAACAAAGGCAGACGGAAAATGTGTTTCACATTGAGCCTCGGTGTGCCTAATGTATTCCCTTCTATTAGCTATTGCTCTGGGTCCTGATCTCCGATTCCTCATCTTTTCAGCCTTCCTTTTGATGTTCGTTATAAGGCAGCAGAGACTAACGGAGAGTATGTCAGGCATCAGACTACAAAAGCGTGGGGAAGAGGGATTAAAAGGGACACGGTGATAGGAGGAAGAAAAAGCATTTAGGAAACATCAGCTCTCTGCAGGCGAAGCTGCAACGATGCTCTGGATGGTTTCGCCTGTGCTGCTATCTACCGTCCTCCCCTTCCCAGCCCAAACTGGCGTTCCTGGAGCTGCTTCGGCCTCTAGACAAGCCAGTCATTTGGCGTCAGGTTTGTACAGAGAGAAACAGCGTGGGGCAAGGGCAGCAGAGCCCTCCTGGGTCTGGAACTCCCCGCAGGTCTGTTTATTGGGCTGGCTTGCATCGACCAGTGTTTTAGCAATAAAATCCGTCTCGCCACCCAGCCTGGTGTTTGCTGAGGTTTCTGGGCTGTTCCTCTGTAGAGAGAGGGAGTTTGCTGGTGCTGTATGTAAGAGGATTCTCATTTTCCTGGCTGTATTTATGATACTCCTCTTCTTGTGAAACCACTCAGCTAAGCCGTCTCGGGGGACTCCCAACGCGACATAACTGCCGCCGCATGTAACAGTCGCTGTGATCTGAGCAGAGTTCAGAACATCCTGGAACAAATAATGGGGAAAGAAAGGAAAACCAAAAGTCCTCCTCTCTGCAACAAGTAATCACGTCCTGCCTGCACTGACCTCTGCCCGGCCAGGGTGCAGCCGTGCCGGAGGTGGGAGCTGAGGTGCCGGGAGAAGCCGAGGACAAGGAACAATGTTAGACGCCTCCGGTGTGAATTAAGGGACTGAATCACACAAGAGCTGTAGGAAAACAAATTGTGGAGGAGCCAGGTCTGCCTTCTGGAGGGTGTTTGCTGTCATCCCCCGGCTGTTGGCTGGTAGTGCACGGGGTCGCTGATCAGATCCTGCACCTCCAGGGGACGATGCTCAATCAGCAATTTCCCTTTGTGCTGTAGTGCAGGAGTGAACGTTATAGGAATGAGAATTTGGGGGGGATACCAGGAGCCAGGTCTCCTTTTAGCCTGCACAATAAACCCTGGCTGCTTATCCCAAAACCAGAGAAACTCCTCTTACCCTGTTGCTTCCCACACCTCTCCGCCGCGCGGAGGCTGTGAAACGTCGCCTGTTAGCAGGGAAGGGAAAGCGAGAAATAATTCCCCACCTGTCTCTTTTGTTCTTCTTTTCTTTCTTTCACAGGGAAGCTTGAAAATGAATGTCAACCAGACACAAAACTCTGTCGTGCAATTTTTGCAGGTGGTATTAGCTGATGAAGGCTGGGTCGGTGCCAGGCGGGTGGAGGTTTCCTCAATAATTTGCTCAGAAAACAGAGGAGAGCGGCAAAAATAGGAATGAGATGCAGACCCGCATCTGGCGTGAGGGCACGGAGACCTTCCGCGGCTATAGAGCTCCCACGGGGGTCTCTCTCTGCCACTGTGCAGAGGGGGTTTTCCTATTTCCCAACCAGATGCTGAAGGAGAGAAAAAGTGACGGTTCCCCGCGGGCAGAGAGGGGTCCCCGTGGGCAGAGGGGGTTCCCGGAGCTGCCACCGGCACTGGGGCTGGCTGGCGAAGCACGGTCAGGGCAACTGGGAACGGAGGAGGGGACCAAACCGGTGCCAGTTGCCTTTAATGCTTCCCTGGTGGGTAAAAGCTTTGGCTTTTGGTGGGGAGCTGGGATATTCGCCATCCCCACCTCTCACCAGTCCTGCCATCCTGCTGCCGCCTCCCAGCCAGGACTGCAGTACAATTTCTCTTTTAATTTCCCCTCGTCTTGTTCCACTTTAACTCTGTGAGTTAGGTGGTTTGCAGCTCTACCTGTCACTTCAGATGCTATTTCCACTTCTCTTTGCTTTCTGCTGTCTGTCAGCGCTGTCTGCCGGCACGACATGGTGTGATGAAAAAAGGGAGGCATTGCAGAGCACGGCGATAAATTAATTGCATTTGCTCAGGTACAAGATGAATTGTCCAAATCATTTTGCAAACAGTTGTGTGTAGAGGCACGGAACAGTTTTCTGAAACAGAGTTAATAATTCCAGTTGTTAATAATGCATCACACGCAGCTGATGCTGTTCCCAGCGCCCACAGCCGGGCTCTGGGGATCCCCCTTGTTTGCGGGAAGGTCGGGAAGGAGAGGGAAGGGATTCTGAATAGCATTTCATGAGACACTTGGCGTTTAAGAATATTATGGCATTGTTTTAAAGCACTTCACCAGTTTCAAAGCAATCCCACCTGAGCTTGTATGTATAAAAATGTGCTTATTTATACACACACATTGACGTTATACGTGTGATCTCCCCAGCCTGTCACAGCCCTTTTTTGAGTGTCGGCACACACGGGCAGGGCTTTCACATCCAAATTAATTGTGCAAAATGCACAGTATTTTGAAAAACAGTTCCTAAAGAGATACTCGTTCTTGAGCAAGAAATGAAAGCGATTGGGAAAGCACATGGGTTGCTATTTCCAGCAGCTAGACTTCACAAAGTTTTAGCAAGTTACAGGCTGTCTTGATAACAAGCTTGAGATATTCCGTAATTTTCCTTTAATTCGATTATCATGATTAAGATTTATTTTTTTCATAATGCTGCTAATTTTAGCAGCTCAGCCCAGCTGAAGTCAGCCTCCCCCTCCCCGCCGCAGCCATGCGGCCCTGCAGAAGCACGCCACGGAGAGACGATGAGGGCTGACGGAGCTTCAGGGGATGTGCTTCAAAGAGCTTTTCCAGTGCTCTGCTCATCGTCTTCACAGCCCCGGTCGCTGTGTCAGGCTCATGGCAAGCGTGCAGCAGTGGAAAAAGCAGCACGAGGACAAGGAGGAGAGAGGATTGTGTCGGTAATTACTGGCCTGTAATTATCTGCCATTGTGCATTCTGTTAGCTCTTCCTGCTTCTCATTAGCATAGAGCGGGGAAAATATTTAATTGCAACACCGCTCTGTCTATGGCGTTATCTGCAAGCAGAGCAGATCAAATCAGCCTGCCTTGTGGGGACAAGGGAGCGATTAGCTCCTCCAGGGTGGCGGGTACAGCTGATGGAGATCAAGAGGCAGAATACAAATGGCAGGGCGCTGCGCACCCCTCCGCGGTTACACAAGTGCCGCCGTGAGCAGGCTTTTCTCTCCTCTTCTTTCCGCCGATCACTTGGTGGAGGCAGAGTCCCACATCCCAGCCAAGATCCCAAAGCACTTTGCATGGTGACGCTGATTTTCCAAAGCACCCACTTCAGCTTTCACGCTCTCTGCAGGACACGGCTGACAGCGGGGACAGGGAGTTGCAGTGCGGCGGTTGCTAGAAACCCGGGTCTGAGGCGGGGACACGCTTTGCTGTGTCTCGTCACCGTGTCCCGTGCACCGTCACTGCACAGCGGCATAGAAACACCGCCCGGGGGTTGCACAACCGCAGCGGCCGGGTGGACGGGAGAGGAACAGACCTCTCCTCCCGGGAGGCTGTGCCAGGAGCAAGGAGGTTGAAGAAAGCACCGAAATAAAGTTGCATCTTGCAAGAAAGAGAGTCCGGAAGAGTGAAATGCAGCTGGTCACAGACTCTAATTTTAATGTGTGTTTGATACAGCGTCAATCTGAGGTGCTGCATGTGCAATGACCAGAAGTGGTGGCAAAACTACCCAAACTATACCTGAGATCTGGTTTCCAGCGCAGTGAGAGATGCTAAAGCCGCTCATTGCTCAGCCCCGGCTCCTTTCGCCTGGGCTGGAAGCTCAGCTCAGGCCCAGTTTGGCCGGGCATGGACCAGTGGTAGCCCCGAGGCGTGGGGGGCCCGTGTTTGGGGGGGTGTAGGTGTGGGGTTTAGTCCCCCTGTGGCACCGGGGGACTTCAGAGAAGGCTCTGGCAGCACATTTCCCCGTGGTTTGTGCCATGAAGCGAGGAGCCAGGTTTCAAACCGATGCTCTCTGCTCCCGGCCACACTCTGCCCTGCAGGCAAAGGCGTTTTTCCATGCCCCAGCCAGATCTGTGCTCACCATCCGATCTGATCGGCGAGGGTGGTAATATTGACACTATTACTCTGGCACATTTGTCCGAACGTCGAAGTCATCACACAGCTCCGCGGCCACCTGATCTCCAGTGCCGATTCCCACAGCCTCCGCGCTGCTGCCCTGAAACGCTGCCGCCAGCGTTAGACATAACAGCAGACTTAATTAAAGGGTGGCAGCCTGCCAGCATCCAAGAGGCAGAGCAGAGCTGGCTGCGCTGCTTTCAAAGGGGCATTTTTAAAAAAACACTGGGAAATAGTAGGGCAAGCCCTGCCGCGCCGGTGCCAGCGGGGGTCAAGCGTTTGTATTGCCTCAGGTCCGTCCCCTTGGGCAGAAGCACCATGAAGGGGCTCGGCCGGTCCCCGATCCTGACCCCACTCTGGGGATGCTCACGGGGACCCTTCCCGGGGCGCACGGTGTGGTGGTGTGTCTCATCTCCGTCCCGCCCCGCTGGAGAGGGTGATGGAAAAGTGGGGTCCCCACATTCCTGTGAGCTGGGGCGGAGACGATGGGAG